ATACAGCACAAAGAAAAACAATGAAAACAATGTTTGAATGGATTCGACGGAACGTGAACAAATTTCAACAGGCCTGTTCATTCCGTGCTATTTCCTGGGGGAGCTGTCATCTGGCAGTGATTTTCTTGGGAACAAAGCATGAATTTATTTCTCGGATGGGTAAGCGTTGACGGCGCTGTTTTCATATTTAAGATGCATGAAAACTACTGAGGAAAGCCAGGCATCAATGTACGAGGGATGTTCAAGATGTCTTCAATAACAGCGGTATAAAAGAATCACTTTCAAGCAGGGGTTACTGTATTATTTCAACAAAGTCACCACTAATTGACACACACTTGCGCCAACGTTCTGGAAGCTTGCTTAGTTCCTCTTTGAATCATGTCTTTGGGGTAGACCGAACCCACTGTTGCGCTGCCGAGTCGAGTGCCTGCAGATTTGGAAGTCTTTGTCCTCTGAGGGGCTGATCAGAGGATCTGGTGAGTACGGATGGTGTTGTAGCACCTCGAAACCCAAGGCAACTTTGGCGTTCGATGTTTGCCGGCTGGTATGAGGTTTCGCGTTGTCATGCTGCAGCAGAACACGTGCACACAATTTCCCTCTTCTTTTCGACCTGATGTTTTGACCCTGACTTTTAAGCTTTGACAGGATTCTCGTATAGTATTCACTTTTTTATGGTTTGCCCCTCCGGAAGTCATTCCAGAAGAATGTCTTCTGTGCCCCAAAAGACTGTCGCCGTTCGCTTGCCTGCTGATAAGCGAATGTTTACGCCTTATTGGGTGGAAGACTGTCAGCATGCTTCCACTGCTTGGATTGTTGTTTCGTTTCCGTTTCGTGAAAGTGGAACCACGTTTCATCGCCAGTAACAAGGCGTCTGAAGAAAGCATCTGGATCACTGTTGTGGAGGCGGAGCAGTTCCGCACTCGTCTGTACACGTTACGCCTTTAATTTCTCTGTCGACAGTCGTAGCACCCAAAATACACAAAACTTTCCCAGCCGCAGACTATCTACAAAATGGCATCAATGGAACGAGCTGAGATTCCAACTACGAGAACAAGCTCCTAGTGCGTGATTCGTCTGTTGTTCATGACCGATCGTCCAGCAGCTACAATGTTTTCTTCTGTAGTGGAGGTGCTTGGCCTACCAGATCGTGGCGCATCATCAGTCGTTTCACAACCACCTTTAAAAGGAAGCACCCAGTTGTAGACAGTCTGTTTTGACGGTGCGGACTTCGCACACACTGCTTGAAGCCTGCGAACGATGTTGACGGTCTTTTCACCTTCCTTCCACAGGAACCATACTGTCCAACGTTGCTCTTGCGCGTCACCTTCCATTGCTGAATTAGGTGTGCAGACAGAATGGTATAGCTGATATATCTTGCTCATAATGATTCATGGCTGTCAAGCCTGAAAATTTGCAAGCATGTCGGCTATGCCAAGGGGCAGAATTGGAAAAAGCTCAAATACTTTTTGAACGCCCCTCGTATATGCATGAAAGACAAAATGTTTAAATGAGAAGAAAATTTATATTCTGTAGAGGTATTTTGTGGACGAAAGTGCAGAGCACAAATGCGTGATCGAGCTGAACCCGGCTAGACGAGCTGGACCGAGCCGAACCCTTATCGACTTGGATGATCTTTGTCGCGCACGATCTCTTTTCGATCCTCTATCGAGGAGAGCATCTCCTTCCAGGGAACTATGAATTTCCAGAAAATACTGGGAATCTCATCTATGCGGATGACCTCTTTCCCCTATCGTACGACGCGAAGGAGAAGGTAAGGCAGTGCAAAGGACGACCCACCTACGTAGTCCCACCATTTCGAGTCGTATACCGTACGTCGCATTGCGCGGAGATGTGACAGATACAGGGGCTCAATAAATAAAAAAAAAGCACGGCAGAGGCTAAAATGAGATCCGGTAGGAGATCGGAAGAGACGGGAAGGTACGTGCAGAGCAAGTAAACGTCCAGACTCCTCTGCGTGCACAACTCTTTTTGTAGCATTTCCATTATTTCGAAGGGAAACTCGGTCTTGGAACTGTATGTCTGTGCCAGACGTCATCCACAGTCTCCCAGGGTTGCAGAGAATTCCTTCAGAGAAACCAGAAAGTCTTGTAAAAACCGAGTTCGTGGATGGTTCTGGCCTCATTTACATCAGAAAGTTTTGGAATTTTTCTTTGCAAGTCGAGTTCTTCGACAAATAAAATTTTCGACAAAGAAAACTTTCATGGTGAGGACTTTGAAGGTTTTGTACGCAAGAAAACCTTCGTTGTGAGAACGTGGTGAGGGAAACTTTTGTATGCAAGATTTTCAATGCTCTGGGAGGTTTCTTCGAAAGTTTTCTTTTAAAAATATTGATTGGTTCTTTCATCATTTATGCGAGAAAGCTTTCTGGTGTGGACGAGACCTCTGGCTTAACCGATGCGCACTCGAAGCGCAACTTATTTTTTCAGTAGCCATAATATAATCATGTTACATCGTGCTAAATTTCATCAGCACTCTATTTTCTTTCAGGACCAGCTGAAATGAAGGGAAACAGTAAAGCAACAACGAATTTATTGTTCCATTCGAACACACACTCGAGAGAGAACGAAAGCGATCTGTTCCAAGCACACAGAACCAAGAGTGAACTCGGGAGGATTGCGGACTAGGAAGATAGGGAAAAAAAAGCGCATCATAACCCTTTCCCTGCTTCGGCTTCAAACTGTTGGACTCAACCATCTAGCAGACCAAGAGGCAGGTACTTGCTTTTCGTACTTTTGACTCCTTTTTCATTATAGTAGGTCCTGTCGATTTTTGTAGTAAAGGAATGAACACGACCACACACTTTCTGCGGGCCAATAGCTGGCAGGGGATTGGAGGAGCAACTACCTCCCAAGCGAAGTTGGTGCCCTCGAAGTAGGGACCAGTAATGTAAAATGATTGGCCATTCGTATTCATCACCGAAGTGATAATGACATTTTAAAATGTCAACTTCCCCTTTAGATTTCCCTATCTCTCGTAACCGAGAAATCTTAGCCACTGGTCTGGTTATTCTGAAATCTCAATTCATAATCCATAGCCAGAGCTTTTAATTGATAACTTATTTCATTAAATTAATAAAGCTGGGCTTTTCTCTTCACAAGGAAAGGGCTGATGACGCAAGTCGTTCTCGCACGCATTCGAAAGACACTTAGAGATTAGAGAGGACAGAGCATGAGGGACGGGGAACACCACTGAGGACCTCACATCCCGTCTGAGGACCTCGGAGGACCTCGCATCCCTCGACGTTCATCAGAAGAGCTGACTGTCGTCGAGCAAGGGGGTCTTCGCCACTTCGAAGTACATACTGCAACACAGGACGAAAATTCATTCCACTCTGCTTTTTTTGCGGAGTCTCCGAGGAAGACGTCGGCCATTTCAATTCCAGATTAACATATTATGAATGTCGTGCATATTCGACATACGAGGTATGGCAAGAAAGAAACGAGATTAAACGATTAGCTTACGCAATAACCCCTCCACAATCAGATTACACAGTTGTTTAGTGTGGTCTTTCCTGGTTCTAACAAGCGCTCGCATGTTCGAATCGGGTAAATAGTGCTTGTGTTATGCCCGTTTGTGTAAGACGGCCCTTGCCATCTTGCCAATTTCTATCACACATTTTCCGGCAAGGGCCGGAAAATGTGTGATAGAAATTTATAGGAGCACATTAACATCAAATCTTTAGCCAAATCCAACCAAACCGCAACTGAAACTTACGGTATGTTGAAAAATGTTTATGGTGACGCAACAGTGTCTCATGCTCGCGTATTTGAGTGGCATAAAATATTTTTGGACAGGCGAGAAGACGTGCACGATGATCCGAAATCCAGTCGACCCAAAAACCACAAAAACCGATGAAAACATCGAAAAGGTTCGAAATTTGGTGCGCAGTGATCGCCATTTAACGATTAGAACGATGGCTGAGATGCTAAACATGAATAAGGAATCAATTCGCAAGATTTTGGTAGAAGATTTGGACATGAGGAAGGTGTGCGCGAAGATGATGCCCAAAGTTCTGACACGCGACCAAAGAATGAAAAGAGTAGAAATCTGCACTGACCTTGAACGAATTGGAAAAGAAGCGGACTTTCTGATCAATGTCATCACTGGTGACGAGTCATTGGTATTCCAGTACGACCCCGAAACTAAAAGACAAAGCCTCCAGTGGACAACGACCACGTCTCCCCGACCGAAGAAGACACGAATGTCACGCTCCAAAGTGAAGACAATGTTGATTGTGTTTTTCGACACTAAAGGTATCGTGCACCACGAGTATCTTCCAGCGGGGCAAACGGTCAACCAATACTTCTATAAAGATGTTCTGGAGCGTTTAAGAGAAAAATTCCGCCGTATAAGACCGGAGCTGTGGCCCCAAAAGTGAATTCTTCATCACGACAACTCTTCTTCTCATTCAGCGTTATCAGTGAAGCAATTTTTGGCCCATAAGCAAATCACAACGATGGAACACCCAGCCTATTCGCCAGATCTCGCCGGTCGTGACTTTTTTCTGTTTCCAAAAATAAGAAGTTTCATGAAAGGAACCCATTTTGACGACGTGGAGCACATAAAGAAGCGTACGACAGAGCACCTAAAAAGCATTCCCGAAGAGGACTTCCAAAAATGTTTCGAAGCGTGGAAGAAGAGTGCGTTAGAGCCAACGGGGACTACTTTGAAGGGGACAACCTTTGAATTCTGTAATTTTTCAATAATAAAAGTTTTATCGACATAGTCTTGTTTCTTTTTTGCCAGACCTCGTATATATTTTACGTTAAAGAAATGAGCAAAAAACCGAAATGGACGCTTTGATCGCGATCGCGCTACCAATTAGGGCCATTGTATAAAAACAGTCATTTCCAAAGATAGCAAGAAACGATCTCCAAAGACTCGAGCCATCCTCATTCCACCACTGTAAACAGACTGTACTTTTGAAGAATTTTGAAAGTGTGAAATGAAATTCGAAATGAGACGGGAAAATCGGCCACTCACTGATGAGAGTACTTCTCTCTGATGGTCTTTAAACGAGGATCCGGAGCCTGATGCAGCATGCGATTGAGCTTGAGGACGTCGTCCTTGAGCTCCTCCAGCGAGAACCCCGAGCACCGCTTGAGGAGTGGGGTCCAGGAGCTCGTCCGCCCCATGCGTAGGGCCAGGTAAAGCGAGGCTGCTGCCAGTTTCTCGTCGTGGCATCCCACCAAGCTGGACTCTTGGAGCGACTGCTCCAGGATCCAGCGGGCCAGCGTCACCTCGTGCAAGGAAAGGTCTGCCGCCTGTGAGGAATATCCGAGTCTAGACAAGACTCAACATATTGGCGATCTTGGGAGAATTTCTGTTGATTTTTCTCGCCTGAGCTTCGTTCCAACATAATAGAGCGGGGGAAGGCGGCCCTTTAGGCATCGTAAACACCAGAGTTTTTTTTAAATGCAATTTTCTTTGCAAATAGACTTGCAAAGAAAATTCTAGTGGTGAGGACGTCTTTCAGAGTTTTATTTGCAAGATTTTTAATACTCTGGGAGATTTCTTTGAAAGTTTTATTTTTAAAATCCTTCTTTTGCAACATTCTGTTGTCGTTTACGCAAGAAAACTTTCTAATGTGGACGAGGCAATTGAGAAAGAAAAAGGCAAGGACCGACAAGCTTTTCGAGCTCGAAAAACGTTGTTTGGGTCGCGAATAAAAAAGAAGCGCCCGAACAACCGATAAAATGAGAATTCCCATCGCCCACCCACACGATTTATACGATGAGCCTCCTTCCCCTCTACCAGGAGCCCCCCACAAGATTGAGTGCCTCTAACCAGAGCAAACAAGCGAAGGAATCGATAGGAGATGGGGAAGACCAGCTGGAAGTCCATGGCCCGGATGAGAATCTCTCTCTCCATCTCCAGCATCTCCTCCTTTGAGTAGGCGTTGAAGCAGGCGTAGAGGAAATCGTTCACCAGCGGGCCACTCCGCTCCTGCAAAATCGCACGACGATTCGCGTCTCGAGTCAAGCACGATATGAAAACTGCAGGAGATGCAGCAAGAAAATTCGTAGTTACCTAATCGTCTCCTTCCCCAAACTCGACCGTCAGCTATTCTTACCATTCGTTCATTTCGTTAGCATGATTGGAATGAGGCCTTTCGGAAAATCGGAACGATCTCGAGGGGAGATGTCACTAAAAATTGTCCTTTTCGTCACTAAAAATTGTCCTTTTCGTCACTAAAAATTGTGTATCCACATCACAGCGAGTCGCGCCTCGTCGGAAAGTTCCCTTCACCTTCCTCGATTCGGTATGCTATAACGAGAGGGCTCTTGCAGAAGTCAGCAGGGCGATGGAGTTGCAATGGAGTGGTCCTGTTTTTTTTTTATTGATATATTTTTCATTGGACCTCATTTGCAAAGAGGAGAGAGGCCACTCGACCATCTCGGTCTTCCACTTCTATCCTACATTGAATGTGCCCGATATACATATCTTTATATATCTGATCACTATGATGACTGCCAGGCTGATAGATATGGGGAAGATACGTTTTGGTTTCATTTTCTTGTTGGAATTTGAAGCATCGATAGAACTTATATAGCGAGCTTAAAATGCTGAAAATTTTTCACAAAAGGAAAAGGATCCGTAGCCACTAGCCTTTCTGGAAGCGGACTCTATGCTAGGTCCTCTGCAGGGGTGTCGAGCCACCACCCACAGCTCCTGGTTTCCTTCCGACCTACTGTGCCGACGGTTCAATTGTCCAAAGATTAAACGCGGCAGCGTTCACTCGGTTACTGGTCGAACTCCATTCACGTCTGACGATTCTGCACGTCCTATTCGTCTCCCACTCCGGGTCTCTGCCTGTTTTCCTCTTTCTCTTCCCGACGGTGAAGGAGATATTTTTTCACCTGCTTTCTCCAGTTTACTTTGTACAGTGTATCACGAATATCGGCGATGGAATTCGACCCCAACCTCGAATGCCATCCGTCGTACGGAAAACGAGCAAAATGGAAGCAGGAAACCCCCACTAGAGCGTCTTTCGTTTCCTGCGGACCCACCTGTATCTTGCAGGCGATGAAGAGGGACGTGGCGCCGAGGAGCTGGAATTTGGATTTCGAGATCTGCGCCTTCATGAGATACAGGTCCATGATCTTCACAGCCATGTAGAGGGAATCGTGGGAGACCTCGAAGGCCTGCTGGAGCTCCACGAGCCAGTCCACCACGATCGCACGCATCGACGCCGTCACTTCGTCTTGTCGGCTCAGGTATTCGTCCATCGACTCCTTCCGTCGGGTGCAACTGACGTCCTGTCGGCTCGAATATTCGTCCGCCATCAACTCGTTCTGCCGGTCGCAACAATTCCTTAACCACTATGGACTCACTCTTCTAGTCGCAACAACCTTTCCATCTCATCATGCTCTCATTTAAAAGCTGCAGTGCTATGATACGTATCTAAATGCTCGAGCAATATGGCTCGAGCATTGTCTCCTTCAGCTCACGGAATGGTGACCAGTAGTATAAAATGCAATATGCTGGGGCAATATTGCTGAGCTAAGGCAACATCGCTGAGCTTTATTCCAGATTTTTGGAATTCCAGCAATTTTTTCATTCGGCACCAGGCTGAACATTTTTAATATACTCATGGCCAAAAAAAGGAAGATCAAGGAGTAGAGCGATCTTGAAGTTTTGCATATTAGCTCATTCTAGTATATCATGAAATTGATTAGTGTTTCAAGGGTGTGGAATGAATATTCATGGAGAAAAATTGCCTAACAATCCAATTTCAATAGCGGCTATGGGGTCATACTTATCGTCTGAAACGGTCACCTAAAGGTTTTTACAGATGAAACGTGAATGGATAACTGAAGATGTGCAGAAAATCGAGCAAAGTTTCGCGGTCGTGAGATGTGGCAATGCAAAAAAAAACTTGCCAAATGCCAAAGGAATTGGGGAAGAGGACGGCGGCATTGAAGCGCGCCGGTTTCCTTTTCTCTGCACCCTAAGCCACTTCACTAGAGTTTTTGAGAGTCCAACTGCGAGGCAGTGCCAAGATGAGATCTCTGGAGGAAATTTCAACAAGTTTGAATGTTTCGTCAATGCTGGCTAATTGTGGAGCATGTATCAGCTTCATGCATCAGGCTAATGCATGCATCAAGTTGATGCATGGTGAACATCTCATTTATCATCCATGGATCAAACACCCGAACAAGTTGTTGAAATAACCTCCAAAGATCTCATCTTTGCACTGCCTCGCAGCAATTTTAGTGAAGCACATTTGCTGTGCATCACTTGACACTTTCGCCACCATTCATTGGCTAGCCAATCTCTTTCGACTGATCGCCAATGCAAACCCAATTCAGCAAAATCTGTCCTTCGGCAAAAATGTTAAACTTCTGACATGTTCATGGCGAGTGATTTCATGGATTTACAACGGGAAAATGCTGGAGCTATTTAACCGGAGCCAGATGGGAAAAGCATGCTCTCGCTCCAAGTACTATCAGTGCTGAAAAATGTCACCCTTTACTTGACAAATTAAGGAATCGCTCCCAAAAAAACCTGACAATTCTTGCTATTAACTGAAGCGAATTGGCAAACAAGATGACAGTAGCTTCTTTTAATTGAACTTATTCCATGATATCGCTTTTGCAATATACACGTAGCGAGTGGAAAGTGAAGAGTTCGCGGCAAGGAACTCCGTGACTCACCATTGCGGCTCCTCGAACTCGGATGAAAGCAAACTGAACTGCACCGGGATCCAACTGCGATATTTCACGGCAGTCAGATTTGCTAGGAGGGAAGGGGAGGAGGATGGGGGGGGCAAGGGGGGGAGGGAGCCTCAGCCGGTCCGTTTCGATCTCTCCTCTTCGTTTCTCAGTTGCGACCGGTTATGGAAAGCAGGCAGAAGGAGGAACCTTCGCGAAATTCTAGAAACGTTTAAATACATAATTCCAGGGACGGCGGAAATGAGAAGCCCTCTCTTCAAACAGAAGCAAGGTCACCCAGACGAGTCGAGGAAATCTATACGGGAATGGACGACAGTCTTTGACTTATTGATAGACTTGACTCGAGAAGAAACCTTTCTTAATAGCTACAACTTCCCGTCTTAATTATTATCATTATTACTATATTATTACTAGTTCGCTACATGAAGAACTCTGCAGCATATGAACAAGGAAACCAGGATTCGTGTTAAAAGATAGTCTGAGTGAAAATTTACGCCTCGACCTTCCACAAATGAGAATGTGTAGCTGCTTTAAAGGAAGAGGAGCAGGTACCAAAAGCACATTTCCCTCCATTTCATGGGATCCACTTCCCCCCCCCCCCCCGACCTGGCGGGATCCACGTCCATCTTCAAAATATGACTTTTGTCCAAGAATTTCCGACTCTTGTGCCACTGTGTGTGGGCTGGCTGGGTAGTTTTTTCGAAGAGGAGCAGGTACCAAAAGCACATTTCCCTCCATTTCATGGGATCCCCCCCCCCCCCCCCCCCCCCGACCTGGCGGGATCCACGTCTATCTGTCATCGAGGTTTCCCCCTCCCCCCCACCCTCTCCAAACCGGATTCTTCTCAATTCATGCTCTGCCCTCTATTTTCTCGGAAGCGAAGGCGTCATGCGGAGGGAAAAGTATTCCACAAAAACAGAAGGCTCTTCTTGAAAGTTTCTTCACCTTCCATCCGTTCCGGATCGTTGTTATGTTGACTTATTCGCCTGGCGGGTGTGTGCCTCTGATAACGAGTATTTTCTACCTGAACAGGATTCACGAGAGCCTGACAGAGACCATACAAGGTGGAGGAAGACTGTGCAGCATCTGAGCGGAACGCGTGTCGGGATTTTCCCGGAAAAACTCCAAGAATCCCGTGACGGGGGTAAATGCGGCTTTCTCAATTTCTAGCAATCGTAGACTTCCTCACAAAATTTATCGAATCATTCCAGTAGATTTTCGGACTCTTGTGCGTCGAACCCGACTGCAACCATCGATGAATTCAGCGGAATGCCTTCGGAACAGTCTCATGGATTCTAAGCTCGACTGGAGCTCATCGTCAGGAAAATTCATCACAGTTCACTGGAATTTGCATCTACACGCAAAATCCAGTGAATTGTGAGGCTTCGATCTCTCGCTGCTATTCATCATATAGCCACGCTTTTACAGCCCGATTTAGTCGTATAAATAGACTTTTGAGCGAGGTACGAGGGCCACTCAATAAGTTATCTACCTGAATAAGAATGAAACATCCGAGGGGAAAACAACACTTTATTTTTCAATGTAGTCACCTTTAACTCAACACAAATATTCCACTTTGATTCCAAGGATTTTATTCCCTGGGAAAAGAAGTCAACTTCTTGTCCATCAAACCAATCAGAGACGGCAACTTTCAGCTCTTCATAGCATGAAAATCTTTTTCCCCGCAAAAATTTTTTCAAGTGTCTGAACAGAAAATAGTCACAAGGAGCCAGATCCGGGCTGTAGGGAGGATGGTTGAGCTCCTGAAAGCCACACTCCCTCACTGCTGCCTGAACTTTCCATGATTTGTGGACGGGCGCGTTGTCATGGAGAAGAAGGACCCCCCTTGACAACTTTCCTCTGCGTTTTTCCT